GGGGCTTGAGTCTGCTTAGGATATTAAAAAGAGCATAGGAAGGCTGAGATGAAATGATAGTGGGCCAGATGACGATATGTTGAGAATTTTTTTGTTAGCCCACTAGACAAGAAATTATGAAATTATTCCATTGCTGAAGAAAACTGACTTGAAACACAGATATAAGGAAGGAACGGAGAGTAAAATAAAGGGTGCTTTGAGGAATAATGTAAATAAGTATTGTTTAAAGCAACAACAATAATGTGCTATGGACTTGATAATATATGTAGAGGTAGTTATATAGTGATAATAGTACAAAGGGCAAAAGGTAAGTAAACAAGATCAAGCTATTGTAAGCTTCTTGTAATGTTTAGGGAGTGCCAGTGCCCTACAATAGATTATAATAGCTCACGGATACCTATCGAAACAACTAGGCTAACTATAAATAATAATAATAATAATTCAAGGTAGTGTATAGCTAAAAAGGTAATAAAGAGAAAAATGAATAATAATTGTTATTAGTATAAGAGAAACCAAGCAAAGGTCAAGAAAGAAACGTGGAACAGGTGGGACCACTGAAAACTATGAACAGATGGAAGACTCAAATACAGGTATCTCAAGAATCACTTTAGATTGGTAAATTTACCAACTTTATGTTAGTGAATGAACAAAATCTTCATTTAAGAGAGGCATATTTAAAGCAGATTTGAAAAGTCAGATCCAACTGTGTTCAGGAACACATTAAATGTGGGGATTAAAGACATAAAAAGGTTGAAAGTTAAATGATGAAAAACACAAACCAAAAGATGGCTGGTAGTAGTGGAAGGTTTATTAAAGAAGGACATTTCATAATTATTACTCAATTAAACTGGAAAATATAATTCCAAATTTGTGTACCTGCTAGAGAGCTTGAAAATACGTAAAAGATGAAAGAAAAGACCAAACAGACAAATCTACAATGAAAGATCTTAACACAAGTCTCTCAGTAAATAATAATAACCATCGGAAAAAAAAAAGTCAGCCCATAGAAGACATGGTTCAACAACTTGAACTAATCTAGACGGGACATTAGTTCTCACAACTGAAGAATACACATTCGTTTCACTGTTCGGAATTAAGTAGTATACTTCTGAATAATCTGTGAGTCAAAGCAGAAGAAATGCCTATGAAAATTAAAAAACACTTTGAACTGCATGTAATTAAAACTTGACACATTAACATTTATGTGACTTAGCTAAAGCATGATTTATAACATTGAGGCATATAATAGGGAAATTAAATCATTGATATAAGCTACCTCCCATTTAAAGCAAATTGAAGAATAACATATTAGGTAGAAGTAAAATAATTGAAATAACCAAGGAACAAGCAGAAATAAATGAAACAGAAGTACAAATGTACAATACAAACATTAGAAAATGAGGAGAGTTGGGGTTTTTTTTTTAAGATTGACCAAATTGGCAACACCTTAGCAAATCTGATTTCCCCAACTTCCCCCAAAATGGATGAAGCGGTGCTAGATAAATAGTTAACACAAATGAATAATGTTATGATGGGAAAAAGGACATCACTGCATAGCTTGTAGCTCCTAAAGCAGAAAGGTGAAATGATCAAAATGGACTGTGTTGATAAATTATAAATTATACAGTTTAGATAAATTTTTTACAGTACTACTTAAAACTAATACAAGAATAAGAAATATGAACAGTCCAGTATATATTAAAGAAATGAAATCCTTAATTTAAAACCTGCCACATAGAAAATGACGAGCTCATTTGGCTTCACTAGTGAATTCTTCCAAATACTTATAGAAGTATTTCTTAACACAAATTATCCTAGATAATAGAAAAGGAAGAAAATTGCCCTGTATTAGTCTAGGTACTTTAGAGAAACAAATCCACAGAAACTCATGTGTAAGAGAGAGTTTTATATAAAGGGTAAGTGCACATCAAGGAATCATCCCAGCCCAGTGCTGCCAAAGCCCACACGTCCAACATTAGCCCAATAACCCATATGTCCAACACCAATCTACAAAGTCCTCCGCCATCTCACAAAACAGACATAATGATGCCAACTGCAGGAGGAAAGCCGAATCAGTGAATGTGTAAGCATCTCAGCGCTGGCAGGGGTCTCCACATGGCTGCTCCAGCACCCAGGGCTGCATCGGGGTAAGTCCATGCAGCTTCTCCTCAGGGATGTCTTGTAGGAAGTGAGCCTTGCCAGCTGAAGCAGGGAACTGGCTAAGGCAGCTGCACCCTGGTCCGACCATCACAAAGCAAGAGACCTGAGAACTTGAAAGGTGAGGCTCTGAGCCATTTATCTCTCCGTCCTTCAATTAACCCCACATGCCTTTATTGGCCAGGTTAGTACGATAAACTTTAACTCATGCCCCATTTATTTTATGAGGTTACAAACTTATGGTCATTTTAAGAAAAGAAACTTACATCGTGAACATATATCCAAAATTCTTAAATGATGTATTCGCCAAATGTTTTCTCACTGCCATCGTATTCGTGCTGACATATAATGCCTTTATGGGACAGGGTAGTAGTATTGCCTCTGTGAATGTCCCAGACTGTGACTTGTTATGGGAGTAGAAAGCTCCGTCTTTCTCCTGAGAGCAGGTGGAGGTTTCAAACTGCTGACCTTATGGTTAGCAGCCCAACACATAGCCACTGTGCTGTATATCATGATTTTATAAGGCTTATTATAGAAATGCAGGGTGGGTGTTGGCATTCAAAGCTAATTGGTCTAATTCAACATTCTTAACAGAACAAGAAGAAAAACCATTGTGGTTATTTTAATGTATGCAGAAAAATAATTTGACAAAATTCAATACACTTTCATAATGAAAACTTTTATCAAACAAGGAATAGATTACTTCCAGCCTAATAAAGTATCTACAAAAGTAAAATATTGAATGCTTATCCCTACACTCAACTTTGAGAACAAGACAAGTATGTCCACTGTCACTATTTTTTTTGGAGGCCCTAGCCAATGGAGAAAGGGAAGAAAACAAAAGATACGAGTAGACTCAAAGCAAGAACACTTTGTTCTAATAGCCTATCATTCCATTATGCTCACCTTCCCAACACGATCGCTGAAGACAAAATGGGTGCATAAGCAGATGTGGTGAAGAAAGCCGATAGTGCCTGGCTTTCAAAAGATACAGCATCTGGGGTCTTAAAGGCTTGAAGATAAACAAGTGGCAATCTAACAAAGTCCACATGGAAGAAGCACATCAGCCTGTGTGATCATGAGGTACCAGGCATCAAAGACCCCGAACAAAAAATTGTATCTATGTGAATGAGAGGGAGTGCAGAGTGGAGACCCAAAGCTCATCTGTAGACAATTGGACATCCCCTTACAGAAAGGTCACAAAAAAAGGAACCAGTCAGGGTGCAGTATAGCACCGATGAAACATGCAACTTTCCTCTTGTTCTTTAATGCTTCCCCCCCTCCCCCCACTGTCATGACCCTAATGCTACCTTACAAATACAGGTAAACCAGAGCAAGCACATGGGAACAGATAAGAGCTGAAAACTCAGGCAGTCCAGGACAAATAAACACCTCAGGGCCAATAACGAGAGCAGTGATACCAGGAGGGGAAGGGGAAGGTGGTGGGAGAAAGGGGCAATCGTTCACAGTGATGGACATATAACCCCCTCCCAGGGATATGGACAACAGAAAAGTAGATGAAAGGAGACATCCGTGAGTGTAAGACATGAAAAAAAAAACACCTTTATAAATTATCAAGGGTTCATGAGGGAGGGAGGGAAAAATGAGCTGATGCCAAGGGCTCAAGTATAAAAAAGAAAATGTTTTGAAAATGATGGCAACATATGTACAAATGTGCTTGACACAATGGATGTATGTATGGATTGTGATAAGAGCTGTATGAGCCCCCAATAAAATAATTTTTAAAAAGAGTAGAAAGGAAGAACTAAAATTGTTATTATTCACAGTTTATATAGTTGGTATACATGGAATATAAACAAATCTGTTGATAGGGAATTAAGATAATGTATGAATTTTTAAAGATTGGTTGCAAGGACAAGTAATAACTCATATTCTTTACACTTAAAACCAATGGAAAAACAAAAATTAAGTACCACTTACAGCAGTATTAAAAAGTGCCTAGGAATATATCAAATGAGAGACATTTAAGATATATAAGACCTCTATATTAGAAACTATTACTATTGTTATGAAAAAAATGTACAATTTAGGGCATGTCAATGTTCTTGAGCTGAGCATTTACATGTTACTTGCTTTTGAGTTTTACATTTGGGTTCCATAGCCGGTTATAGTTCAATAAATGTTAGGAAAAGACCTTAGAAGTTCTTATCTACTATATAAATTCCATCACGAGAGATGTCTTTATGTTTAAAATAAGGCAAAACTGTATAAAACTGGGGAATTGCTTTTTTCTCTCAAACTCTTTGCAATTTACGTAGATGTGCCCATATTATTTGATAGTCACATCATGTGTGTTATTGGACCAATTTCCCTTTGCATAAAGTAAAAAAAAATCTGTTTAGATACTCAGATGCATCCAAAGCCTGCCTTAGTAACTCTGTCCTTCAGTTTGCTGCATTGGTGGCAATTTACTAATGCAAGCACGCTTTCCATTTTAAATTTTGTTTCAGTTCTTTTAAACACATGATATCTTCTGAGAAAATTAAGACGCATGATTTCTAATCAAGTGACAGGCAGACTAATTAGTAAAATTTGACTACTTCCCTTTTTAGATTTGTTACTTGGCAGCAATCTAGCTATTGATACCAATTTTCTGGTTTGACATAAATAAAAGTTCTGTTTGTCACATTGAAGATACATAGATCTGTGGTATCTTATTTTTGCAGTTTTCAATAAGAGTTTTATCTGTTAATAGTCACTGAAAATTCTAATTTCTAAACAGGAGCATTTGGGTAAATGAAGTCCTCACTATATTGTTTTGTTCAAATGGGAGATTACGTGTTAAGATATCAATTCATATACATTTGTTTCTCATTTCCTAGAGAAAATCTCTTCATGAAAATAAGTTAAAGAGACTTCAGGAGAAAGTTGAACTTTTGGAGGCAAAGAGAGAAGAATTGGAAACAGAAAACCAGGTGTTAAATAGGTAACATTTTAAGTTTATACTCACACCTATGGTCTTATTTTGATAGTGTAATAGGGCTTTGCTTCTTGGTATAAAACACTTTATATTTTCTTTTTTTAAATTTTTATATACTTTATATTTTCTTTCAAATGATATGTACATTCTAAATTCTAAGTGTTTGATAATCCTTAACCCATAGAACAAACCCATTTGTATTGGAAGCAGTAAGGCCAGAGTGCTCTTGAGAAGCAAGGATAGCAAGACTTTGTCTTCTATCCTTGACATGTTGTCATGGAAAAGGACATCATGTTTGGTGAAGTGGAAGCGTGGTGTTATGAGGAAGACCCTCAACAAGATGGATTGGCGCAGTGGCTGCATCTGTGGGTTCAGGCATAGGACCATGTGAGGATGGTGCAGGACGGGCTGTGTTTCAGTCTGTTGTGTGCGCAGTGTTGCTGTGGGGGGGAGTCTACTCCGTGGCACCAAGCATCATGCTGAACAAATAAAGGGAGAAGCTGGGTTATGTGAAGAAGATATTGTGTCGGGATTAGAAGGCAGCTTACTAGCCAGCTATCTTCAGGCTACACAACTCTGCTTGCTGAAATTGAAAAGGCCTGGAAGCACGTGCTGATGAAGCGCAAGGATCAGAGTCTTCAGTAAGGATTACAACTCAATGTAAAGAAGAAAACCAGCATCTTCACAACTGGTCCAGTAGGCAATATCTTGATAAATGGAGAAAAGGTTGAAGTTGTCAAGGACTTCATCTTGTTTGGATCCATAATCACAGAAGCAGTAAAGAAATCAATGCTTTTCATTGGGTTAATCTGCTGCACAAGACCTCTTTAAGTGTTGAAAAGTAAGGCTGTTACTTGGAGGACTAAAGTGTGCCTGACACAGCCATAGTATTCTTAATTACATCCTATGCATGTGAAAGTGGGGCAAGAAATAAAGAAGACCAAAGAATAATCGGTGTATTTGAATTGTGATGCTGGTGAAGAATCTTGAAAGTCCCATGGACTGCCAAAAGAACAAACAAATCTGCTTTGGAAGAAGTACAGCCAAAATGCCCCTTAGGGGCAGCATGGCAAGACTTTGTTTCATGGGCTTTGGACATGTTGTTAGGAGAGACAAGTCCCTGGAGAACATCATGCTTGGTAAAGTAGAGGGCCAGTGAAACCTAGGAATGTCTTTGGCAAGATGGAATGACCAAATGGCTGCAGCACTCGGCTCCAGATAGGACAGTTGTGAGGATGGTGCAGGCCTGGGCAGTGTTTCCCTCTGTTGTAAATGGGGCCGCTAGGAGTTGTCCTCCATGGTATTAACAGCAACCATATTTTACTGAATATTCTTTCAAACTAAAAGACTTCTATACATGCTAGGTATCTGTGCAGTTGGGATGGAGAGTGCATGTCAAACTGGTTGCCAGGAGTGCTATACATTCTTGTTGCTGAGACAGTAAAACAGCTGGTCCTATTTGTGTGGTTGTGTGACTGCATATCTGAATCAAAGATCAGGTTTTGGTTGCCTGGTATGAAACATTACTGTGTTAAAACTTTTAATTTTGTGGTTACATCGAAGCACAGCTAATAATCAACATTGATAGCCTTTCTTAAACAGGGAAGACTTACCTTATCAAGTAGAATTTTTTAAAGTTACATATTTCTCAAGGGATTGAGAAAACCAGAGGTAGCATTTACAACATTTGATTCAGGTTCCTAAAGAATCGTTTTCAAATTCAGCTAATTAGTGGTAGCCTTCAGCACTTGAGCTATTCTGTAACTTTCAGTTACAGAAATTGTGAGTTATAGCTTGATTTAAAATGTATACTGTTATTTTAGTATATCCCCAAATGTCAACATTTGTTTTTCAGAATACCCAGGAACCTTCTAGACTCTAGAATAAATGTCAACTTTACAATACTTAATACCTTTTCTACTAATTCAAAGTGATATTGAAATATCAATCAAAATTGGGCAACTATAGTGCAAAACATGTAAAACTTTTAGTGGTTGGACAACTCAATTTGATTTTCCTTGTGATTGGTCAAGAAATTCATGTTATGACCAATTAAATGACGGTTCTGTGAGGGCCCTAAAAGTTAGCTTGTTTTTCAATTTCATTTTTCTAAAGTTGGGTAGCTTCTTTGTAATTCCCTAAATTTTAAAGAAATAGGAAGAGCCTTATGAACTTACTTGAATTTGACCACGTGTCATCTACCAAAATGTCCATTTCATGTGGGCCCTTAGTATTTTCTGTTATTTCCAGAAGTGCCTCTTTCTTACTTTCAAGATTCATAGGTAGTGAGAGGCCAAATAAAACTTTTAAGTGGGTTGATAACTAGCAATGTTAATAATGTTCATATGATTAAGATGTAATGTCATCTTTCTATTTATTTCTCCATGTAAGCAATTTTATCTCTAGATAACATATGGATAAAATTTCTCCCTGTGAAATTTATTTCTTCTAGTTTAAAATTATATGAACTGTGTTTTTCTTTGGAGTGTAACTTTATTAAAGAAAAGAGCTGTGACATGATTTTCTTTTCTAAGACAAAATGTTCCGTTTGAAGAATATACAAGGATTCAAAAAAGACTAAAGGATATACAGAGAAGACATAATGAATTTCGAAGTTTAATTTTGATTCCCAACGTGCCTCCCACAACACCTCTCAATCCTGTAAGCTTTCAGTCCTCAGACATGGGTCCAGGCGTGGAACTTTCTTTTCCTCCTCATCTTCAGGTATGGGCAATTTATTTTATGAGGAAAGTTTTGTAAGCATTTCTGTAGGTTGTTACCTGATAAATAAATAGTTAAAACTTCCAATTGTGAATATGATCAGTACTCATAATTAGTGACAAAAGTGGCCTAGTTCATTTAAGTCAGTGGTTCTCAACCTTCCTAATGCCATGACCCTTTAATACCGTTCCTCATGTTGTGGTGACCCCCAACCATAAAATTATTTTTGTTGCTACTTCATAACTGTAATTTTGCTAGTTATGAATTAGGTGACCCCAGTGTGAGAGGGTCATTTGACCCCCAAAGGGCTCGAGACCCACAGGTTGAGAAACCACTGATTTAAGTCAAGTCCATGTTAACTTCTCCCTTTCATTTACCAGAGACATCCTATAATGATGGTGCGAGGAGCACAATCTTCTGTTGGATGGTAGAAAGGAAGAAACTTGCTTGCTGGGTCCTCAAGTAGCCTAGTTTATAGATTCTTCATTTAACACTACAATGTGGTATTTTACCTCTTCTAAATGAAAAGTACTTTGAGGCAGCAGGAATAATAATTCCTAATTTACACAGGTTCTGAGGTAAAGTGACTTGCCTAAGGCCATAGCTTGTAATGGACCCCTGGTGGCATTATGATTAAGCCATGTCTCCAAACTTGAAAGGTCGGCTGTTCAAACCTACCCAGTGGCTCCTCCAAAGACCTGGCGATCTGTTCCACTAACGTTGACAGCTGCCAGTCCCTGTAGAGCAGATCTGCTCTGTGACGTGAGGCCAGTGCAAGGTGAACGGAACTCAGAACCACAGCAGCCTCGCTCGCGAGTGACAGTGGTTCCAAAACTTGCTCTCTCAGTACGCTGAGTCATTGAAGGAATCGGATTGACAGGTTTGTCAGAAGAATAGACCTAGTAATAAGTTAATTGCATTTTATCATGTAGTAAGATTTGTATCATGTTGAGGATTTTTGCCACTAAGGGCTGTGTTTATAACGTGCTGTTAGAAAAGCTGCCAGAAGTCCACCTGGGCCCCACTTTATTATATTCTAGCTCACTCCCTGAAGAATCTTGCAGCCTGGAAAACAAACAACAGACTTAGGGTTTTGCTTAAGGCTAGAACCTGAGGCTGAGAAAAGTGAGGCCTAGTTAGTAGTCTAGCCCACACCAGTCGGTTCTTACTGCTAAAAGGGTCCTTGTTCCCACGCCAGATGTGGCAGGCCTGTCTGAAAGGGGCTGGCTGAGGCTGCTGTGGACCTGTTCCAGAGCTGTCTAACACTCTCGATGTGCTTTCCCGCCACATCTTCAGGAGGAACAGCATCAAAAGGAACTCTCTTTACTGCGTAAAAGACTAGAAGAACTAGAAACAACACAAAGAAGGCAACTGGAGGAGCTTGGATCTCCTGGGGAATGATGTTCTTGGAGAAAAGGCTGATCGAAGGGGCTGAGATCCAGGAAGCTGGAAAGTTTGAACATAGTGGCATTTAGAAACTTCATGATTGCTTGCCAAAACACTTGAATTTGCCTCCAGGAAAGGTACCAACTGCACACTGTCTTTCGTGAGTTTGGGAACTTTCGGATAGTAGTAACAAATGAAGCATTAAAAGAAACCATTTCAGAGATACTGAGACTATTTATTGAAAATCCTTTGAGAGTGTAAAAAGGAAGAAAAGGAAATAGGGAATCAAGTTCTTAAATTATTTTATGAATTTTACTATATTAAATGTTTTTCTTGAATATGCCCATGTTGGCATCCCCTTTCCTCATTTTTGAGATGTTTGGTGGCAGTACCAAGGTCGGCAAACATCTGGTTTACTAGGCACAAAAGTTATAAATACTAAAAAATAAATAAAAATTAAAGTTAAAAAGAAGTTATACATCTTTAGTTCTTAAAGATGACAATTTTACAGTAAAAAAAGAAAACAAAGTTATCTAACCATATGTTCACTACAAATGGCTATGTGTTCTAAAACCTTTGTGCACATAATTTATTACAGAGCTGAATAAATATTTTTCTACCTAGTTTGTTGCCTCGGGCGTGACTTCACTTGGTATCTCTGTGGCAGTGGCGATGTCCGTGAGTTTGGCCCTGTTGGGTTACCATGAGTAGAAAAGAACTTGAACCCAGCGGGTTTCCTATGACAGAGTGGTTAGTACTTGACTTTGCTTTCCACTACTTGGGTACTAAGCATATTAATATGAATGTTTCACTTTTGCACATCCCTTACTTTCTTCTCCACTGTGTGCTCACAGCAGAAAGAAGCTTTTCAGGTGACATCTTCCAGAGGAATTCTGGAATAATTCCATGTCAACAAAGCAGCGCTCAAGCCTGCCAAACTAAGTGGAACGTTTATTATCCTGGAGTCTTTATGGTCAAAACTCTCAAGTTGATAGTAGAGACGAGGAATGTAATTGAGCAGCCCTTAGCATAAGTTAGCAAGAAACTGGAATGAGATTTCCTTACTATGGGACGTAAGTGCTTATTCACGTAGAACATACAATGACATCTTATTCCTATAACATAATGAATTTCCATGGAGCCACTTAGAATTTTTAAAAGGCTATTTATAGCTGGATCATTGAAAGGGAAAAAAAGACAGAGTCCACAGTTACAGCAAAATGTTTATTTTTGGATATAGACATTTAAAACATTCATCTCCAAGAACATCTTCAATCAGGTATACAATAAGAAGTAGACTTTAAATCCTAATACGGAAAAAGGTAACCAAATAATTTTTAAATGCTGCTGTAGACACTAGTGTTAGAAAAAAGAAGTTTATAAATGAATTGTCTTGCACCAAAAAAATATGCAAAGAAACTTGAAAATAGAAATGGTTTGCCATTTGTTTCTCTGGTTGCTGTTTCATATGGACCCAGTGACTGATTGTCTTCAGCACACATCTGATTTGGCCATTTTCTGCGTTTGGCTAATGTGACCCAAAACGTGGATCTAGACAGTGCTTTTCACTGGGGGATTGACAAACACGCTACATACATTAGTGAATCTTCACGCCACCTCAGTGAGGTAGGTTAGAAATATTATACAGAAATCGAGGCACAAAGAGTTAAGTGACTTGTCCAAAGTCCCCAGCAGCATAATCCCTGGAAGCGCAGTTAATTCCACAGGACTGTGTGCCAGAGAGCTGGACAGGGACACCCTCACCTGTAGCATTTAGTAAATACTTAACGGTAAAGCTGTAGCTGATCCTCTGAATTCCCTTAGCATTTCTGTGCCCTAAAGAAGGGGACGTCTTTTGGGTAACTCTCCTACCCTTGGCTCTCAACTCTCCTACTAGAGTTCGCTTAGGAACTCCTTCACACCTTTTGAGATGGTAGCAGCCGTCATGGGGCCAGACCTCTCTCGATACTTACAAGAACCCGATTTGGTAGTATTTGTGAGGTGTGTCCGTTGGACAGACAATGGTCGAAGGCGGTGGGGTTGGGAGGGTGCCTATCAGGGACAGTAACTGCTGCTTTTACGATCCCTTGGTTGAGACATCACCGCTCTCGCTATTTACCAGATATCGGGGAGCAAAACGAATTTCATTTAGGGCAAGTCTCATGTTTAAAATCCAGGTGTTACGTACAGTGTAGGTACATGACTTTGAGGAATGCGTGTGCAGTTTGAAAAAAGCATTTATTCATTTGGGGCTTTGGAGCACCAAGGGTCAAAGGTGCCACAGAAAGGCTTGGGAGAGTTGCCAATTAAGCTTGCTTTTTTACTTCCCTTGGTTTAGTGAAAGGAAAACACAGTGGTATTAAAATTGGTCATGAGCAGCAAAAGTTCAGGAATAAAAAAATCAGCAATAAAAAGACTACAGTATAAGGGGAGAGGGAGTTCTTTAAAAAGAAAGGCATGAGTAATGGGTATTTTTAATTTTCTCCTGCGAGGAATACTTTCAAAAAGTACATAGTAAGACTAAGATACCAAGTTGTATACTAATCATTTCGGGCCTTGGGCCTCAAAGATATATATTTATATATAATACTCCAGTGTGAACAGCAATTTCATGAAATGTAAAATGTGTCTTTTTTTTGAAATCACACACAAGTATTTATAACCACAGGGTTCACTTGGAATCTAAAGCAAGGAGACACCAGTCTAGAAGATAGGATTGGAAACGCAAGCCACTGTTCACAGAACGTGCTGACCTTTGAGACAGAACACGTGCACGACTAACGAGGTCCTCTGTCACGACACCCAACACGTCCACCGTCACATACACATAGGATGAGCAAAGGAATGGGGAGCCGGGAGGCTCGGCGAGAACACGGTGGGTGGGGTGCTAGCACACCGTGCTCCTTGCTTTAGAGCTCCCGGGGCAGGGGGAGGGGAGGCGGATGGAGTGCAGTTGGTGACCACGGAAAAACACAAGCCCTTTCAACAATGTGGCAACACTGTTCGTTTTTTGGTTTAAAAAACACACGCACGCGTGTGCACACACACAAATGCTAAGTGTACACACTACCAAATTCTGCAGTCAGCTTTTCCAAGAACTGGGGAAAAGTGTCAATGCTGCAAATCCTCGAGGTTGCCCTAAAACACCCCCACCTTGTTTCCAAATGGCTCACTTCACATTTTGTGCGGAGCCCTGGCAACGGCCCTTTTCTGTAGAGGGGCAGTGTAGTCACAAGTGCTATCTATACCTAGCTGTAGTTTTCTGACAAACCACTTCTATTGTGCTTAAGTGGAGACTGTAGTTAACAATAGCAGGGCACTAGCCACTGGCCTGTTTTCTCTGTAAACAAGGAGGCTGTCTGCAACCACCACTTCAACTCTATTTACAGAAGGGTTCCCACAGGCACAACGCTGGACTCTGCTTTCTAAAAGTGGGCCATGGACCTGCGTCTCTGACAAAGACAGTGGTCGACGTGGAACCTATGTGCAAACGGAACGATTAACGACACAGAGTAGCTCAAGCAGCCATTTTGCTCCCAAGTCGTCTGAAGAACTTTGCCATGTTAAGCCAGGCCCCAGAGAGCTTACATCCACTTGCATTTCTTCTTCTCATCAAATAAGACTTTGACATGCAAGAGTTGTTTCTGAGCTTCTTCCAGCCCTCGTTCTCTTTCTAGTTTATTTAGAATCTGTTGACAATTAGAACAGTTATTTTAGAGATTGTGGCTTTAGCATTAAACCGGTTGTTTTTTTGTTGTTGTTGCTTTTGATTTTCATATTTCTTTTTTTTTTCCTTTTGCATTCCTGATGCTGTGAGCTGAGACAATCTGTATGAAACAGATGCCAACATTTTCTCCCAGTATCATTTACATACTCACTTGGCAAGTTGTTTTGCTAAGTCATTATCACAGGATCAACAACACTATGGCTTAAAATAGAAGCTCACAAGAAATACCAATGATGTGCTTACAAATATGGGGCCAGACTTCCTGGCCCTGCTTTATGCATTATGTCACAGCCATTCCCAGCACAGCAAGCATTCCTGGGCAGCCAACATGCAAGCAAGTCCTTGCCATGGGTGCAGCAGGCAGGGGCATCCTGGTAAGAGATGAGTTTGCCCTCCCCGCGCCCCTCCCATCTGTGCAGTCCCGGTCCCTCCTCGCCTCTACCCTCCCCAGGTCTTCCCTTCTCACCCCTAGCCCCTGGAGAGAGGGATGCTTATCACGTGGAAGGAACTCATTGCCTCTACCCTACCTGAGCGCTTCACTTGATCTTCAAGTAGCAAATGGAATGGGTGAGCTATTCTCACCATTGACATGGATAGCCTGTCCCAGCATGACTGAGTGGGGGGAAGGGGGGATTAACATAGATTTGGAAACAGCGCATCTGATGAATGTGTCTGTGTGAATTCCCAAAGAAAAAAGAAAATCCAGATTTAGGAGAATTAATCTTAAAAGGAGAATGGTTTATTGAAATAGTTTTCTTAAGTCAGATATATGGTTATTCTTATCACTATGGAATACAAACCTAGCTTTCATTTCAGCAGATTACAATCCAGCAGAAACAGGCCCCATTTAATAGGACTACTTCTTACTCATCAAAGTTATTTTGAGTCAGTGTGGCTGGAGACCACATGAACTCGATGTAAATTCAGGCTAGTCCCAAAGGTAGGCAGAATGGTAAAAGCCAAAAAACCCTCAGAGGGGCAGCCAGGTGCAGGGTCTGGCTTGGTGCCAGGATCCCCCATCTCAGACAGGTTGCCCAGCCTCCCTTTTTGGCTGCCCGGGGTACCAGAGCTGTCCTGAGGCCCATAGACTGCTACACCCAAGCCCTAGTGATTGAGTCGTCGGTTTAAAATATATGTCTATTTTTCCACTTAAAATCTTACCTCATCAAAATACTTCACGATGTATTTGTAGATTTCTGTCAAGGCCACTTCTTCGTTAAATTCATTTTCATGTTTCTTAAAGAAAGAAATCCTTATTGAGAAATTCTGATAGCATTTTTTGGTTGTTTTTAAAGCAGAGCCAGATGTTAAATTATGTCTGTTTTCGAAAGGTACCTTAGATTCCTGAGTTAAGAATTCTTCCATTTCTGAAGATGACAATGGAGGCAAATCCCTGATTGCTTTGTAGTAAGATTTTACTTCCTCTTTATAGGTGGGGATATCCTTGGCATATAGAAGTTTGTTAGTCGGTGCTTCCTAAAAGGAAGGAAGGGGGGGGGGGGGAGCAACCGTGGCAGAAAGAATTTTTAAAAATGAAGGTAGATTTATACCTACCAGTGTCTCTGAACCTCTACCACCAGTGTTCCTCCTGGTAACCAGGCTTCCGCTGAAGGCCTTAGTAAGTGCTGTTGACTGAATGTCAGCCGGAGAGTCCTGGTGACTCACTGTTATTTTCAGGCAGATTAAATGCTAATATATTCTGCCTCCCTCTCACAAAAGAACTAAAATTATTATTTTTGCATGATTTTGAGTTACTGTAACAATGGAACTTATCTCAATCAGTTCATTACTAACGGTTGTAAAAAGCCTGAATTAAAAACACTTGCTCTCATCCTCACCCACCATGAATTTTGGCATTTATAAAAGACTCGATTGGAGGTCTGACTGAGCCCTTCACATCACCACAAAGCTGGTAAGCTAATTGGCGGGGGCAGATTTTGCTGCTTGTCCCTTAATTCCTCAGAATTTCAAGAGCTTTCCGTTTCCTCAAGGTGTCTGGTTGGCATAGGTCTTCAGACAGTGCAGACATATTTATAACAATACCTTTTTGAATGAGTGAAAGTATTGTTTTTCCATACAGCTAATTTTTTTTTCCCTAATGAAGGAAGATGGGTGACGTGTGCTATGGCCAATGGCCCCCCACAGTTCAAAGAGGGTCTGAAATGGAGTCGTGGTCACTCAGCTGGGCACTGTGGAAGGCCCTGGGTATAACGAGAGAGAAACCAGTGCCTGACCCTCAGATGCTTACAATCTAGTGAGACTGAACCTCACGTCGCTTAGCCTCATCTAAACCAGGGGCGGGGAGCAGCTGGCCCGTGGGCTCCGGAAGGCTGGAGAAGTCATCAATTCCAGCTAATATCAACCACCTCACCAAAGGAGTAAATCCAGCCACCAATTTAAAAAGCACGCTCACTGACATCAAGTCGATGTCCACTGACAGCAATCCTAAAGGACAGGGCAGAACTGCCCCATGAGTTTGTGAGACTGTGACCCTTAATGGGAGTAGAAGGCCCGGCCTGTCACCCGCACAGCCACGGTGGTTTCCAGCTGCTGCCTTTGCCAGTTAGCAGCTCAGTGCGTGGCCCCGACGCCACCAGGGCCCTTAGCCATCCCACTGGGGTGCATTAATTAGATGTTTGACCAGTATGACCCTTGAATGGTGTGATAAATCTCCAAATGGCCCTGGCAGAAAAACCCCTGATCTAAGTGATTAGCAGATTTGGATAAGCCAGGGATCATAATTCTGTTACATGGTGTTGTTTCAGACAAGATTTGTAACCTCTCAACACTAATTTCCTCATCTGCACAATCAGGGTACTGGAGGTGTGTGTGTGTATGTGTGGCTTACACTGTTGAATACAAAGTTCATGATCTGACATGTTAACCCCCAGCAAAAAAATAATTTGAAAAAATGAGAGAACATGGTTCTTGTGAGAATTACTTGAAATATACCAAGAGCATAGTAACTAATCAATAACTACTTTTTATTTTGAATCAATACACATGTGAGTATATTTCACTGTGCTGGGTGCCAAGAAGAACTTTATTAGTTAAAGGAAGAAAGTACAGGAAATAGATCAGGGCAAGGGTCCAAGTAGGTGTTTTTAAACTGACCTGAGCTTCCTACCCATCTCTGGAAATGGTGTGTTTGAGGAGTGAGTGAGCAGTCTGCTAGCCAGCGTGGTTGTGAGGCAGGAGGGGATGCCTGACGGTCAGCCTGTTTCATCGAGAGTGTAAGACACATGCAAGAACATGGCAAGCTTGGGAAAGAGACCCGAAGGCCAGCCGGGAGGGCCTCGCTGGGAAGCTTGTCACTTAGTGGGTAGCAGGTGAAGTACGAGGAGTTTCCAAACGTTGTGGAAGAATGAAATGAAAAGATCATGGAATTTTCCCATGAATTTTTTTAAAGCCCTCTTACATAAAAACCTTTTTGTAAGCAGGCAGGAAACCGACAAGATTGGGTTTATGTTCGTAAAAGAACACCCAAGACGGAGTTGAAAGAAAGTTGAGGGGAGAGGGTGGCAGCAGGGACAAGGGCAGTGCTTGGGAGGTAGTTGCAGAGATGGACAGAAGAAGGAAAAGCAGTCACTGAAATAGAGGTGAGAGGACCATGTGATGGGAGGAAAGGAGCCCAAGGCCAAGGATTCTCCCTTGAGAGGCTGCATGGTGTTCCGGAGACAAAAGCAGAAAGGGCTTTGTTCTGCAGGAGCAGGGGGGTTTGAGGTGCTTTGGAACACACATCACTGTTCATCCCAGGTACTCGTAAAGCCCTCTCTACCCAAAGCCACAGTTCAGCGTGAAAGGGTTTTCTGAGGTACAGATATGACTCAGTTTAATACATCATGGAGCGTCTACATAAGGCCAGAACACCCCCTCCAAAGCTCGCTCGCTATTTTTCTATCTAGCTTTCCTTCCTTGGGCATTTGCTCAGCCAGGAAAACCATATTCACGTTTTGATTGCCATCTGACAAACCAGCCGCGACACAAACCTCGGCAGGGCCTTCCTCCCCAGGAGCAATTTGTCAAACTGAATTGGAGCCCCTTTACGGTAGGCTCGGATGCCCTTCACGGAGGCACCTTTCAGTCGTTTCGGACGGGGGACCAAGGTTTCACCCGTGTCTGTGGCGTGTTTTCTCTAAGAAATGAAATCTATACTTTGTGGTGAACCTTTTCTGCCAGCGGAGTCCCACAGAGGGGAGGGTCCTGCTAATCAGCTGACAGTCCAGCTTTCACTTACAAAAAAAAGAACAAAAATTTTTTAAATCCTAGATTACATGGAGCCAGAATTGCAGGCATGGCCATTGCTATTTCTTTTCAGCTGGCGTGCTTTGGGCTAACGGTTTGTTATTCTCATCAGAGTTTATGTCCAAGCCGAGCCCTACCTTCCCCAGTTGCTGCTCCGTGAGAGAAAAGGCGTCCATGAACGCCTGGGCGATCACGGACAGACAGCCGTCTATGTGCGGCGTCTTCTTAATGTCGAAGACGAACTGAGGGTTCTTCAGGATGTTCACCCAGAAGCGCAGAGGAAGGCTGTTGGGAAGGAGAGAAACATCTCTTTCAAAGAGGGCATTCGTATCGGGCCGATGTTCTCAGAGTTTGTAACTGGGCGTTTGGTCCTTGTAATCGCAGTGGACAAGTCTGGCGTGGCAAGCAAGCAACAGAGGGCAGCATTGCTGAGAGAGAACAGGGAAAGGGTTAAGCCGATGGGGCTACTCCAGGGACAGAGGGGACAGACTCGAGGAGGACGGCTGCTTTGAAAGGGAGTGGGGACTGGTCCTGGAGGTGCTTGAAACTACCGAACCTGGTGACCAGTGACTGGCCTCCGCTCAGCCTGGGTGCTCCCAAGACCAAACCCTGGAGTCGGTGCTGCCTCAGAGTCGCCGTTTAGGGCAGGGTAGAACTGCCCGGTGAACTTCTGAGACTCTTGCTGGGAGTAGAAAGCCCCGTCTTTCTCTCTCGGAGCTGCTGCTGGTCTCCAGCTGCTGCCCTTTGCAGTGAACAGCCCCCAGG